GCGGGTGTTATGAGTTGTCTTTAATTGTGGAAATCGTTAAAATAGTGTGTAACAGTCAGGCATCTGCCCCCATCAAGTAGCAACCAGCACCAGTTTCCCGCAAAATATCGAATATCTTGGTGCTACCTTGGAACTGAACGTACCCCTGGAGAAATCAGTATAACCCTGCCACTTAATGCCATGCAGATGCCAAAGCGAGGGCTGAATAGGAATAGTTTGACTGCGTATGACAAGATCAGATTTATTGAGCAAAGGGAGTTGAGACTAGGAACTGTGGAAAAATGTGGTGCTGATAGGTCAGTAATCAAACTGTACTATATGTGAAGATTTACCAGTGACTATACCAGTGAAGTAGCACCCAAGTAAAAAGGAAGGGACCTAAAAGGCCTGAAACAATTCCCTGTTTCAACTCAGTCTTATCAATGTATCCGCCAATTCTGGATTTGCTTGCGCTGCCTGCAATTAATTGCATACCAGCTTATCAGATGGCAAGTGTATGAACTATCGTGAAACCCTTGCAATAACCGATCAAAGAGAAAGTTAACCAAACGATGTGAGGGTTGGAACCACGAATGGTTCCGCAAAACTCATAACATCAATACCTGTAAGGTAGCTTTTTGTAAGGGATCATTTTATTTGGGCACCCAGACTAGGCATGAGTCTGGAAGCAGTAGGAACAAATGTGCAATAATCTATAACCACCAAAACCGCACGTACCTGTCTTGAAATTATTGCACGTTTGGGACTTGCCCTAAATAATGTCTCCACCTGGCTTAACCTTAACAATCCTATCTGATTGTAAGGAACCGAGTGTCCCCAAGGGACTTGAGCCGTGTTAAGGCACAAATTCGTCAAGTGTCCCAAAAACTGCACAAGTCAGAATCCTGAGGCCTGTAAAGTGTCAGCAGATTAATTCAGTATCTTGTCTATTCCAATCTACACTGAAGTTAAATTGAGTCAGAGCTGCAGCCACTTCATCTGCAAATGAACTATGGTAATCATAGAAGGTTGTACTACTGTACTTGTGCCCCAAATGCCCAGCCTGTGCATATACACCTCCAGTTCCTCACAATTCTATGCCTAGGCAGAGCAATACCTATCCCTATATTCGGAAACTTGAGATCTACCGAAATATAATTAACATCTATGTAAGACCGAACTGGTACTGGCAGACTAGCTATTGCCAAGCGGCGAAAAGATTCCACTAAGAGGGGTGACAGGTGAGGCCCTGCTAGTTGCCAAGTGGCTTGAGAGGCTCTAACTATGCATTAGCCAGAGGGGATTTTTGAGGCCATTTAACGTTGTGGCAGGTGCGCGAGGGAGCTGAGCAGACAGCTCAGAGGAAGTGCTCCCTCGCCAGCCGCCCGCCCGCCAGCGCCCCCCGACCACCCAGCAGGTCAGTTAGCAGCAAGGCTAACTAGACATTTGACCTGGGCATTTGGGGGGCGGTGTTTTTTGCCGCCCCCTGAAAAATGCCACCCAAAGCAAATGCCTTGTTTGCCTCGCGGCTAAAATGCCCCTGACAGGTTAGGCCCTCTCTATGCAACCGTGCGAGGCGGATAACTATGTTTGGACCTGTCGGCATATCCCTCAGAGTATGAGGATGGGTGTGTAACATATTCCTCCTCACCTTGCGGTACTTGTGCTCAGCAGCCATGCGTCTGTATAACTGATTCCTGCAACACGTTGATGGACGCCGGCCACTGTGGATCCACACCAAATTACAGCCCCACATCCGCCCACGTTGATGACATTGTCGCCGTGCGTGTGCCGTCACATTGGAGACGTGCGCTCACGTTCTGGGGTCAAAGGACGATTTCGCCCAATCACATTTGTAAAGGGCTTATTTAAACGCAATTTTACTTTTCCTCATTGCCCTGCTGTGGTTTCCCTTAATGGTTGTACGAGAGTGGGTTCCTGAGCGTTTATTTCTGGTAATTGACTTATGCTTTGTTTGACTTCCCTGTATTCTGGTATCCCTGACTTTTGGCTTTCACTTAACGTTGTGTTCCATTCTGTATCCATGACCTCTTCAATTATTCTGATTATTCTTTGCTACATTAAGTCCGGCCATTGTAAGGCCCGGTAAGACATAACCTTTTAGTCATAGGTGTGATACAGTTCTACGTGCTGGATCAATCAGTAATCCTGATAGGGTGTTGGCCTCGCAGGACCACTAGCCTATGGCATAGATGCTGGAAAATATATTCTATTGGACACCTGGATTTTTAATAGCCAGTAAACGCAGAGCAATGCACATCCCTATATTTGGGAGCCTGAGACATACTTGAAATATATAGTTACCATTAGTGTAAACCCAACTGGTACTGGCAGGTTAGCTATTTGCCAAGTGGTGAAAAATTCCACTAAAAGAGGTGTGACAGGTGAGGCCCTGCTTGTTGCCCAGTGGCTTGAGAGGCTCTAACTATGCGTGACCCCAGTGGTGTATTTAGGATTTGTGCTGCCCTAGGCAGCACGGTGCTCGGGCACTCTCCCCACCCCCCAATTAAAATTTTCCTCACCCCTTTCTGTCAAGGCCTCACTCACTGACAGACGCACACTCACTGACAGACACACACTCTCATATACACTGACAAACCATGACATACACACACTCACTGATCTGACACACTGATAGACAGACATACACTTACTCGGACACACACTTACTGACAGACGCACGCACTCACTGACTGACACATACACACTCACTGACAGACAGACACACACTCACATTCAGTGACACACATACACACTCACTCAAATTCACTGACACACACATTCAGTGAAACACGGACACTTACTGACAGACACACTCACTCACATTCAGTGACACACATACACACTCACTCAAATTCACTGACACACTCACTCACATTCACTGACACACACATTCACTGACACACACATTTCCCCACACTCACAATTATTATTATTATTTTTTCATTTAAATCTACCAAGCCTCCCTACATTTGGGATAGCTGGGTGGATTTTTCACCTGGGGTCCAGAGTGGCTGCTGGGCAGGGTAGCGGCCGGACGTGAAGGCGGGCGGTTGTTTCCCGGGAAGGCGGGCATCTGCACTAAGCTGTCAGCGAGGGAGCACTTTCCCCTGAGCTCTGTGCTCAGCTCCCTCGCTGACAGCCTAGTGCGGCTGCCCGTCTGCCCGGGAAACAACTGCCCGCCTGCCCCGGGGAAGCCCAAAGGTGGCCAGCAGGAAGGCAAACAATGAGGCAAACAAGGTATTTGCCTAAGCATTTGGGGGCGGTATTTTTTGCCGCCCCCTAGAAATTGCCACCCAAGGCAAATGCCTTGTTTGCCTCGCCGTAGACACATCCCTGGTTGACCTGAGGGGATTTGTGGTGGGTTGGCCTTTCTGTGACATTTAAGCAGAAAATAGTATGGGAGTGACAGGTTATGCCCTCTCTATGCCACCATGCGAGGCGAATATCTATGCGTTGGACCGATGGGCGTATACCTCTGAGTGCGAGGATGGGATACCTGGATCCCTGAAAGCCAGTACTCTCTGTTAATCAGGATAATTAACTTAGTAAATGTAAACGTTGTCAGTGAGAATCTGAAATGATGAATCGCTTGTAGCAGTAGAGTAGAGTAAGGAGGGATGACGTACTACAACCTAAAATAGTATCTGAGGATGTGGTAAAATATGTGGGTCAGATTGTGGACTCCAATAATAAACAGTAACCAATCGCTAGACACCAGATGCAAATTTGTCAAATGCTTGCCACAAATTGATGAACACCTTGTGACTTTGCAATAGGTTGCCCAATATGTCGCTATAGCTCAAATCAATGTAAAACCAAATTTATCCATCTGGAAATAACAATTGTGATGTCTGTTGTGACAAACTCCCTTTTCCTGTGAGTTTGCCACAAGTTTTTGGAGGGGCCTGTTTGCCAGCCTCCTACCCTGGGACTATGGCCCCTGTGTCAAATCCTGGTTAGAACCACTGTGTGCTCCCTTTTTAAACCTGTATGGCCGCACTTCAAACTTTTGAAGTGGCACTTCAAACTCCCAAACTTCCAAAGCCATTCGAAGTGCCATTCGAACACGTGGCAGCAACCATCTTGTTTAGTCTAATGCATCCAGCGGTGTTTGGTCGTCGAGTGCATGGAACTCAAATTGGACACTCGACGGCACAAACACCGCTAAACTTTTGCCTTCCATGGAGGTTCGGCTAGTCGAACGGGAGTTAAACGGCGTTGGGTAAAAAGAAAACCACGAACGAGAGACACATAGTGACTATATCCACAAATGGCTACGTTCGGTAATTTGAACGGTATTTTGACTATTTGAAATAGACTGGCCGCACAGCCTGATTCTCTAGAACGGTTTTGGGCACAAAACCATGCATGTGGTGAGTCAAGAAGAGACTTCCATGAATTTCCTGAATCCCTGCTCTGATCTGGGTGATTTTTGGATATGTTGTTCACCCAGATCAGGGCTATCAGGGCATATCCCTGTCGGGTTTGGGTACCAGAATTATTATTAATTAGAAGATTATCTATTGGCGGGCCTGCTAAATATATTTTATTGAATAAGTATTTGAGAGTGGAACTAAGCTGATTCAAATATTTATAGTATTCAGAGGTAAAGCCGTCGGGGCCTGGTGCTTTCCCAGTCTTGAGGGTCTTTATTGCTATACAAATTTTTCCTTCCGAGATAGGTTCACTAAGACGTTCCCTGGACTCCTCACTCAACTAGGGAAGGTCAGGGCTCTTAAGCCATGCTATGCCCATGGTCATCCGCCTGTGCTCCAGTTATTGTTTTGTAGTAATCATAGAATAGCTTGTTGATGACCACATGGGAGGTACATCTAGTCCCGTCTGGGGAGATGATTGCTGTAATAGGCTGGAATTTGGACTTAGGGTTCAAGCCAAAAGTCTCCCAGACCTTCCACCCCACCGAAAGAAATGTTGTGTTTGAAAGTCTAGCTTTGATTGTGCATGGTATTTAGGGTGTGTTGGGCATCTTGGTATGACTAATACAATAAACATCAAAATAATCTGAATTGGAGTATACAAAAACTCTATACACAATAATAAGCAGGGCTGCGTCACATACAAAAGAGCGACTAAACAACCAAATAAAATATAAACCAACAAGGGTATGTGAGCGCTCCAAATAAAATATGACCACTAGAAAAATTACACTCCAAAGCAGCAGCTGTAGAATAAGATAAAAATGTACATATACACAAAATATTTATTCATATAAAAATAAACAAATCATAAGAACCATGAAAAAATCCTTATAAATCTAAATATAAAAAAGTTCATAAGGATGTGTCCAAACCAAAGTTCAAAGATACATAGTGTGGGGCCCCCAACACTAATATGGATTATGTATCAAAAGGAAAAAAATTAAATTAAATTAAATTAAAAATCTGGTATGACTGCCTATGTGCATCGGAAGGGTTGGCCAAGTAGTGGCTATGGGCTCGTTTGAGCTACTGTTAAAGCAAAGTGACGTCCTTCCTCCATTGTTTTTTGACTGATGCCGTATATGACAGTATCTGTCCCCTCATAACCGCCTTGGATGCCACCCACAGCACCCACATGTTCCAGATTTTCATCTACAAAGTTAGCACAACTAGTCTGAAAGTGACCCTGGAAAGATGGGTTTTTAGTAAGATACGCTGGGAAAAGCCAATGTGCGGTAATTGGGTGTGAGGGCTGTGTGAAAATAAGTAGCGTGATAGGTGCGTGATCAGAGACGGCGATTGTCTCTATAGTGGAGCAGTTGACATGTGGTAAAACTGTTGGGGTAACCAGGAACATATCAATTCGAGAGGAGTTGTTGTGAACTGGAGAGTGGAATGTGTAATCTCTCTCATTATCATGGTGTATCCTCCAGGGATCATGCAAATTATAGAAAGTTGTGAATTAAAAGAGTCTGCGGTCACTGTTCGTGGGAGGCATGGATCCTGCTGAGGATCTGTCTCGGAGTGGGTCAAGTACAGCGTTAAAGTCTCTACCCATTATAAGCTGATAAACCTCTGAGTGAGCACTGTTAGGAGCTTAGTAAAAAAAGAGGGGGCGGTAGAGGAGTTTGGGGCATAAACATTGATTATGCAATAACACGTGTTGTTAATGGTAATACATAAAATAATGTAATGTCCCTCAGGATAAAGATCCCAGCTGTGGATCACATATTGCAGTCTGGAGTGTAGGAGAATCGCCACACCTCTAGCCTTAGAGTTGTATTTAGCTGCTATGCAGGATTGAATCCATGGAGCCTTGAGGTGGGTGTTGTCAGAACGGGACCAGCAAGTTTCCTGGAGTAGGACAATCTGAGACTGATGTTTTGAAATGTATGTTAAGATTTATTCCTCTTGATAGGCGTAATTGCTCCCCTCACTTTCCAAGAGAGAAGCTTAAGGGCAGAGGCAGGAGTTTTTGTGGTAGAATGAGATATCAACATTTTAGCCAATACCTTGTCGTGGAGTGCGGCAAAGCATAGCCAGATACATAGGGTTGGGGTTCTGTTCGTCCCAGTCCGAGCAAACAGATAAATCCCAGGGTAGGAGTGTATGTAGAGCACTGCAAAACCAGCTAAACAAGGGCCATTGAGCCCAAACTATGTACAACATGGGAATCCAAGTACGGATAACAATGCCATCACTGCACTTCACGGGCAATCGTGGTGCTGGCTGATGGGCCAGGAGAAGCTCTGTCCCAATCTGGCAGGACATCCTGTAGAAATTTAGAGGCCTCAGTCACTGAAGTTGTGTTAAGTTTTCTATCAGCAACTTGGAGACGTAGTGTTGCAGGGTAGAGAAGAGCAAAGCGTATGCCTTTCCTGTGCAGTGTTGAACAGATGGGCGTGAATGCCTTGCATCGTTGAGTAACCTGTGCGGAATAATCTTTAAAAATCAGGATTCTGTTTCCTTGATGTGTAGGTAGGTCTAGGTTTTTGTAAGCTGTGAGGATTCGAATCGTATCATAGAAATTTAAAAATATAGTTATGATAGGTCTTGATCGTGTTCTATTGCCAGAGTTTTCTTGGCCTAGTCTGTGAGCACGTTCAATAATGGGAAGAGAGTCAGAGGTGGTTGCAAGTTGCAAGGTGTTCACAAACCAGGACTGGAGAGTGGGAATGATATTTCCGGACTTTACGGATTCAGGGAAACCAACAAATCTGAGATTGTTCCATCTGCTGTGATTTTCTAGATCATCCAACTTGCCCTCTAGAGAGGTCAGAGTATTATGTTGTTGTGATCGTGATTTGTAACCGGTGCACCTCATCCTCCATTGCACCCTGTCTTGCTTCCAGCAATGTGAGTTGAGAAAAGTGCGCTTGGAGGAGATGGACTGCACCATCTATTGATTGTTTGATATCCTTAACTTGAGATTCAAATATTGGTTTAAGTAGGTTGGAAACCTCCCAAGCTGTTTCTGAGGCTTGTTGTGAAATGAGGTTAGTAGTGAAGCTCATTTGAATGGGTCCCTCGTCTGCGTTCGATCCGGGAGTAGAGGCTGGTGTAGGATCTTTGAAGTGTATCTTTTTGGTTGGCCTTTGAGATTTTCCTTGTGTTCTCTTGGATGGAGTTTTGTCAATGAATTTATCCATGACGGTGGAGTACAGATAAGGAGGGAAAGGCAAGGTAGTAGGATAGAGGGACCTGATGTTAAGAGCAAATGTGATCTTTGTGAAGATAACGTTAGTAGGCAGAGAGAAGAAGAGACAGGGTGTCAAGCCTATCATGCGTGTGATGTTGTCAGTGGTGGACGACTGTGATAAATATACGTGTTGTGCACAGGCATGGGGGAAAGAGAGAGAAGCCAAGAGTGAAAGAGAGAGCAAGAAAGAACCGCCAGGTGAAGTCCCTGGGAGAGTGGTTGGTAGGTGAACCGCTGTCAACCAGTCAGGACTAGATAGGAACTTTAGACAACGTTTTGGATATTTAAATGTGAGCAATTAAAAACCAGTCTGTGTTAGGGCAGGGGTATGGTGCAGACAGGATAAAAACTCAGCAAAAACTGTCTAGGTATATACAAACAGGTCATCGGGCAAGCATATCGCTCTTTTCAAGCGTGCCTCTACAGAGAGATGAATCCAAGAGGTGAGCTGCAGTGCCCGAGGAGCCCTGCCACCACAAGGCTAGGAACCAGGTTGAGTCAGTGTGCCCGCAGGGTGAGAGAGATAGATGCGTAAGCAGCAGCATACAGTTCCTCAAGGTGGCACAGGTTGATTTGAGCAGAGACAGCCAGTTTGGAGTGGCAGCAGTAGCCCGAAGTAGTAGTAAGGGGCAATGGAAAGCAGGAGCTTTGGGTATATAAAAAAAAGCAAGGTAAGCGCAGTGAGTCCTATATACAATACAAGCAGCTGTGTGACAGCCTGGGTTCAGAATTGAGGTATGTGAATAGGTGACACCTGAGCTGTGAGTTCACTGGCAGCCACAGCTAGTCAGTGTGTTTCCCTTTAGAGGCAATGTGTGTGACTGTAACTCAGTTAGCTGCGTGTGGTTTAAAGAGGCTGCACAGAGGGGTAGTTGCAAGCAGGAGGTACAGCTTTAAGAAGTGATGTGGTACCTGCCGCGGTATTT